AAGTTCTGCAATTAAACCTGCTTGCCTAAGCTCATAATTAAAGGGATCAAAATTAACTGACAGAATTTCAGTGAAAATTAAGATATTTTGCTATTGTTGTCTCTCAGCCAGGTGTGATCTGAGCAACAAAGGAAAACATCTAAACACTGTTTCAATTTATCTTCAGTGAAAATTAACTTCATTTTTATATGAAAAGTTTTGCAAGGACTTCACAGGAAGAAAATCCTGCGAAGTCCAGGAAGTGTAGTTTATGGGTGTGTTTCCATTCAGAATGCTCCACAATAGAAACACCCTCTTTTTCACAAGAGGCAAATATCTCACTGGAAATGAACCTGAGACTGAGCACAAAAAGCTGGAGCTATAAAAGGTTGGAGCTGCAGTCCTGCAAGGCACGCGATAATAACCATAGCCACACACACACACACACACACACACACACACACACACGAGGCTCTGGAGCAGAAGGAGGGAGGGATACTACACCCAAGGCTCTGCTGGGAGCAAGCTTCCCTTGTCTGTATGTGGAATGCTGCCAGGTCGCCTTTCCCTTCCTTTAAAACTCCTGTAACACTGGGTTCAAAGCCTGTCACTGCTTCAGCCAAAGAAACACGGTTTCCCTGAAAGCAGAAGTGCCCTTGCAGCACTTTCCAGAACTTGTTTCGTGGCAGTCTTCGAAATGAAACCAGGTGTAATTGTATCCTCTTTCTCCTTAGCTGTTCATCCCAAGTTTCCACCAAGGTTGGCTTCTCGCACAAAGCTTTAACTCTCAATTTGGATGGCTGCCCATTTGAAAGGCCAGCTGGCTGATAAATTGCTTTATGAGAATCTCCAGACTCTTAACCCAGAGGAAGAGAAGATCCATGTGAAACTCAATACAGGCAGGGTAATGCTGTTTTGGCTCTAGAATGTGGTCCATCTTCACAGTAGAATAAAATAATGAATATTTAAAGATCAAAGTGTCATCCTCTGGAACACCTGTTAGCCAAAATCCGCCTGGGGATTAACTGCTCAAGTAAGCAACAGGCAAAGGTCAGATCATTCCTGATGTGGGGAGGATCATATCAGCATGGCCAGACCTGCAGCTGAGAATGCAGCACTGTGTTTGGGGTGGGATTTCCTGACGCTTTTTGTCTCACTTCTATGCAAAAGAACCAGATGTTGAGAAAATCTGTGAGTGGTCAATGTCATGAAGGGGGCAAATTTAGTTTGAGGTTGCTCATAACTGTGTCATTACCTTATTTCCAAAAAAAAAACCTACTACTAAACTTTTGAAAGAGAAGTCACTAAAGTTTAAAAAATGCTATGTTTAAATCCACTCTCTCTTTACACACAAAAGGCCAGGCACTAATGAAATGTTACTATTATGAAAAAAATAGATAAACCAACAACAAAAAAACCCTTAATTGGGAAAATACTGTTGTTTGAAGGTGCACTTTTAAAACTTGGATGACAAGGCTACACCAGTTTCTTGCCTAAATATGCTGTCTCAGACAAAAATCCCTCAAATGTTACTGTGTTGCTCTTGTTCAGCTCAAAATATGGAAGTGGATGTGAGACAGTAATGCAGATCTTGGTGTCAAAGGGACTGTTACATGTAGTTTTGGGTTTTTTCTCTTCCTGACTGTGACAGATGGTTTGATCAGGTTACTTCAATGTTCCACTGTGAAAATTGTCACACAAACTCTGTTCCAATTGCTTAAACACAGGTAAAATATTGAATTGCTGGTGAAAATTTAGAGTTTCCACCACAGACCACCGGGAAGGTAAACAAATACTCTATGCAATCTGCTCTTACAATCAAACCTGAGCTGACAGTACAAGCAGAAATCACCAGGGATAAAAATAAACTCAAACAGTCCTGTGGTTAGACACTACTAGATACACTTCAGCGTAATTTTTTTTCATTCCTTCTATTTATCTGTCTCAGAAAAAACCTTTTAAGCAGTTCTTTGAAATTGGCAAGCAAATCAAGATGGGAGTTATGGCTCATTTGGCAAAACTGTAAAAGGCAGTCCACCTTCAGCTTTGAAGCTTTGGTTGTCTTCTGAGTTATATCTGGGGCAGGAAATAGTTGATACAAAACACAGTACTGTATCTACCTTTATGCCATTTTCTAACAAGACATTAAGGAAACTAAAATGCTTTACAAACATCCATCTCTTTGAAGCCCCTAGAAAGTCCTTCATAAAGCTGGATTGTCTTAAATCTTTGGTTTTGAACATGGTGGATAACATTGGACAATTGAGATGTTTCTGAAGGTCCTTCCAAAAGTCATCTTTATAGAGTCTTGTATTCACTACAAAATAAGTCCAGAAATATGCTCTGTGCTTTGACACCTTTCAGACTGAAAATCATCAGTAGTGTAAAAGTTGCCTGAGGTTCTTGATTGAGATTTCTCTGAGAAACACAAGAAGAAAGATAGGTTAAATTCTCTCCCTGTTTCAGAGCCACTTCTTCTGGCTGTCCTTGTACACCCTCCTGATATGTATACAATATCTCTGGGAGGTTTCTCCTTTCTGATTATTTCATTTTGTCTATTAAAAAAAAAAAAAGAAGCGTAGTCAACTTTTTGGGTTTCCTTTTCTACAATTTGACCAGCAATCTCAGGCTCAGAGTTTATAGATGCTGTCATGTATCCATTCTTGTTACTTTAACTTCATTCTAAATGATGTTAAATGTCTTTATCCGGTCCACGTAAGCACGTTTGTGTTGTGTGTGTGTGTTGTTGAATGACCCTGCTATCTTTCCTGCTCTTTGGAATGGCCAGTGAAAGCATGTCTTAGGATGGACAAGCACAGCCAGTGAGATCACTTTTGCTACCCCTTCAAAAAGAAAGCATTTTTAGATATCAGCCTATTCTTTAGGTCACACTGCATTGGTGGTGGCATGGAGGAAGGACTTTAGTGATGGCTTTTACAGGGAAGAGAAGGAAATGAGAACCCAGTGCCCCAGAATGCCCAAACTCATCAGAGCACACAGCCTTGCCCTGAAGATCTGCTCCTCCAGTTACCAGTGGGGTTTCCCCATGGAATAATCCAGTGGCTGCTGCAGCTGTGCTAATCATCACAACTCCAGAACAGGATGCACTCACGTTAAAATCTCTTCTTAAGAAGACTTTTGTGGAGTTAATGCAGCAGCTAGAGCTACCTACACTATGCTGAAGATCGGGAGTATGTTACAGCAAAGTCTGGGGTGAGAAATTCCCTGTTTAGGTTAGAACATCATCCTCAAAATGTTCATTCTTTAACAACTCAAACTGTTCCAATGAAAAATGATAATGAAACTTCATTTCTGTGTCCCCTGCAGATGAAAGTCCTTAGGTATGGCATCTGTCATTTCTGATAATGCTGTTTTCAAAGAAATCATGTGGATCTTTTGCAAAAAAAAATCTGCCTGGGTAAATAGGAGCTGCTGTATAAACTTGTAGCTGGCATCAGGTGGATAAACTGTTTAACAATAACAGAATACACAAGGAACACACACACTACTCCATGAAAGGATGAATGCTGAGTGACTTGCCCAATTATCTTCTGAGCCAGTTTTATGTGCAAACTGTAACATCCAGTAGAAACACTTGCTTTTCTTCCTCATAAAAATGAAAGATAGTAGCACCAGAAGAGAGCACAGCTGGAAGTTCTGGCTGCTATTTGGTGTGTTTGGAGTGATAACTCTGCGGTATACCCAGCTACCAGATAAATGCAGTAGGCAGAGGTCACACTTAGTTTTGGTGTCCTTAACAGATGTTCTCAGTACTGGAAACAGCGTGCATGTTTGGCTTGCTTTGGTGAAAAAGTCAGACAATTCAAAGTTCCTTCTGTGAAGCAAGAAGGAGATTCTTGGTGTTCAGCTGGGTGAGCTATGCTCTCTTCCCAGAGGCTCCCTCCCCTACTGCAGCAGGGCCAGTAGTGCTGGTGCTCTGTGGTGGGTGGAAAGCACTTTGGCTCTCTGAAGCAGAAACACAGCAAGTCCAATTCATCTCTTGTCCACCTATGAAAGGTAACAACAACCCATATGGCTGGGAAGATGAGCCACGTGTGCCCCCAGTAGGACTTGACTCCAATATTACCCAGAGCAGTTATCTACCTTCAGTTGGGTTGACTGGATTTTTTGTTGTTTGTTTGTGGGTGGTTTTTTTGTGGTGATAGATGTTGGCAAGTTTTATGTTTTGTTTTGTTTTTGTTTTTTTAATTATATATATCTTCTGCCCCAAGGAGTTGAATTTGCTTACACTTTGAAACTATATTCTAGCCTCAAAGATGTATTCCCACTCTTAGGTTATAGCAGTAGTACTGCTCAATGGAGCACAAGGGAAAGCACTGACTTATCTCCTCTGGCTAGATGCAATGCTCTTCACATACCCCTGCTGCAAAAATTACTGTAAAATTGACTCACTAGTTCTCTATTTCTGGCGTTCTGTATTTCAGCAACTTCCAGCTCTCATCTGTCAAGTTCAGTAGTTTGGGATTTTTAATTTTTTTTTTTTTTTTTCCATTGCCCATCATCTGAAAATTGCAAAAGTGTTCTCTGTACCTCACATCACTATAAGTGAAGTCTTGGCCATGTTTTTAATGGTGCCTGAGTTGACAGAGCTCTAGAGAATCTCCAAAAGGGCAAGAATGCCAAGACAGAAGTTACAGGTGTCAGGCAACCAAACTGGTATTTATTAGACATCCCTTCAATGTGCTAAGTTGAAACACTTAATCATGAACCTGTATAAAGTATTTTGCTGGAATACAAGGACACCATTGTATGGAAAAAATAATTTTAAAATAGAAACAAGAGGAAATAACATCATATATCCAGTCTTAACGTTTCTGTCTTCTAACTATAGACTTTCACTAGTTCAGCTTCTGCTTTTCACTTCTGTTTTTTCTCCCCCTTCTTTTAACTGCCTTCATTCTGATTTTCACCCATTATTTGGCCCACTTTCTAGTCACTTCAATTTTTCTCTTGCTTAAATTCAAAAACAGAGATGAAGAAAAAAATTCTTATGACCATTTACTGTGTTCCAGTCTAACGTGTTCCTCAGTTTAATTATCACCTGATCTAGGTGATAATTTCTCTTCTGCTACTAAAACAAAGCATGAAATGTCTTGTCCGGTCTTACTAATACCATCTGTGAAGGTATGGGAAGAGCATAAAAGCTCAGCTGCAAGGGGTGACAAAGAAAGCTTGGACTGTAGAAGGAAAAAAGGTCGCAAAAATTTGTTTCCATTTGCCCTGTGCCTTTCACTTTCAACAGACAGTGTCACCCAAACTGTGCTGTATTGGGATGCAAACTGTGCTACCAGACCAGCCTGTAATTACTGGGTTGATGAGATATTCCACATTCTCGTCTCTTGCGCAAATAACAAAGGGGAATTCCCCAAACTCACGCAGTATGTGCTCAGCCACAGGAGCTCCACACTGAAGTCAGCTCTAACAGCAACAAAGGCCACTGGAAAACAGGCTGAATCCAGGAATAATCAAAGAGGCCTTCAGAGAAGAATCCTATTTTCAGTTTCCTTTTCATTTGAGCCAAGGTGCTTATGTCTCTTTTGGCAAACTTTAGTGTTCCCTTTTAAATATTCTGGTAGATTTAGGGACAAAGTTAATTGGCGAGGCAACAGGTTTTTAACAATGTGTTCTGCTTTTGAGCTCCCTTTTCATTAAGCATTAGGCCCACCTATATGCACATCAATACACTGAAGCTGACTGTCATCTGAATTTTCACTACATTGCTGACAACCTTCCATTCTGTTGAACAGCTAACCTGGTAAACTATGAGCATGTCCTGGTACTCAGCCTTTTCTCTTAAGAGTAAAGTCCTTCCCATTTCACACTTCTTTAAACCTTATCCAACTTCTTTGATTTTTGTACCAGAAAGCAGAAGCTTTAAAATAAACTGCTTCAAATTCCCCCCAAAGTTACGTTAATGTTGAAGCTACTTCTCATTTGAATGACCATTGTCTCTGTTGGAGACTCCTCACCACAACTGGGTCTCAGTCGTGCTGGATACTGCATCAGCTGTCAGGGGAACTCTGTACTGTGAGAATATGGGACTGAATCTAGGATGGAAAACCCTTGTGATGACTGAGAATTTCATTTTATGGTCTGGAGAGTGACACACCTACTTGTCACAGCTGGAAAGGTATTCACATTAAGAGATCTTTCAGGTTATGCTGCAAGAATGTCTGCTGCATGAGAACTTTTTCATATTTAGGGGAAAAAAAGAAGGAAAAAAAAGTGGCTTTAGTACTAGCTGAAAAGAAAGGGCCTTGTTTAATAATTTGAAGGGACTCTTTGCCTGGTGTTGCTTATTCACCTTTAATCTATTTAATTCAACACACTTCCCTGAAGGAGATGCTTAGTATTCTGTGGAAGGGTGAAAAGTTTTTCCATTGAAGTGGAAGTAAAATAAAGAAGGTACAGCTTTAAAAATGCATATTTGTAGTCCTCTCATCTGTACTCCTTCCTTCTGATGGATACCACATTAAGTACCACATCAAGCAGCATTTCTACAAGACTGTCTATGAGGATGAGCTCCTTCCTGCTTATAGGCACATGTTACTGGTATATATTATCTCAGACCACATTGTGTAAGTCAGTAAACAAATAGTCTGGTAATTGGGAATCATGCTTCCCACAACAGCTCCAACTAATTTTTCTTTCCTTCTTCCCTGTAAATACTGTTTTAGGATGAGCATAATCTAACAGATGTAATGAAAAATTATATAATGGCTACTCTGGGTACGGCTGCGAATCGACTTAATTTCATACCTGTTAGGTGCTTCAGTTAACAGGCACTTCATTAAAAGGTTTTTTCCAATACAGGAAAGTAGCACCACTGTAGAGATACTAATTTCAAGCTATTTTGTTGCACTCCAGTTTGTTCGCTAAGCGAATGAACCACAAATATAAGCAATGAGTTGGTCCTAATCCTCAAGTAGTCAGGAAGCAAAACACCTTTACTTTTTTTTGTCAATTTGTTTGAACGCAGAGGTGACACCAGAGCCTTTTTTGCTTTGTAAGAATGATCACTGGCCTTTCTTCTGCTTTGCCTCCCCTTTGCATTGCTGCCACTGATCCCACCCTGTCTGAACCCACCTGCGCTGCTCCTCCAGCCCGTGTTTATTCCTGCCCACGGCAAAGCTGCTGGTGACAAAGTGACCCAGGCCTTTCTCCTGTGAAAACCAAAACTAGCTGGCAGAAGAAAATGAGCGAGTCGCATCAGACAGGGAACAAGCTCTGTTGCAACCTTTGGCCTTCCTTTTTGCTCCTGGGGTTTTGCTTTTCGGTGAGCGCGATGTGCTCGCAGTGGCTGCGGATTGCCCGCTGCTCTCCCTGCTGGAGCCACAGGCACCTTTGGGAATCCTGCTGCCTCCCGGGGCCCGGCAAGGACAGCAGCTCTCCAGACCAGGGCCCAGGCCAAGCTCCAAGGAGACAGCTGAAGGCATGGCACAGGGAGGACAGGGATCTGAGGACAGCCTCTGGGTTTGGTGCTCCCTGGAAAGGCAGGGAAGTGTCACGGCACAGCCTGGGCTCTATCCGTTGGCGATGGCTTCAAGGCCGCAGGGGTTTCCGAGGGAAGCTGCTCCCCTGCCACCAGCTTTCCACTACATTCGAACCGCGTGTCTGCGCTCTCGGTTTCTAGCTATTCTTTATTTGTCCTGGTCCGCTGTGCCAGCCTCTCAGCACTGCCACCGGGACGAGGCGCTGGGCTTCCCCGAGGGCTCACAGCACGCCCGGGGCCTCGCTGGGACAGACCCCGCCTTACCTCATCCCTCCCTTCGCCACCCAAACCCAGCAGCCAGACCCAGCAGCTCCCACCCTGCCAGCCCCGCCGGGAGTCCCGGCACGCCCGGGGCTGTCCCTGAGGGCGCCCTCGGTGCTGCCCCGAGCTCCGCTTACCCCAGCGCCATCAGCTCCCGGTGGGGCGGCGCGGCGGGACGCGGCTCCCGGCGCTGGGCCATGCTCCCGCCGCTGCTCACGCCTCTTCGGGGCTGAGGAAGTGCGGGCCGGCACCTCCCCGGGCGGGGCCCATCCCCTCCCTCCCCGGCCCGGCCCGGCCCGCCTCACCTCCCCGGCCCGAGGGGGAGACCCCCACCCTCAGCAGGAGCAGCCAGAGCCCCCCCGGCTTCCAGCGGTGCCCGGTGCCGCCCCCATAGTGCTGACACTTTGGTTTGTGGCCAGAATAATTCATACTTCCCGTTGTTTTTATCTGCCCCTCACAGATGTTCGTATTCCAAAGGTTGGTATTTCGTTGTCCGCTCGCTTTTCCCCCGCCATCAATCCACGAACGCCCCTCGCCTCTTCTGTGTCCGCCAAAGTACTCAGCGAGGAAATCTGTGGAGGTGAAATTTGTGGATTATTCTGTGACAAGTGTGCAATCCTGCCCCCGGCCAGCCCCCAGAACCCAGGGAGGTTGTGGTTTGCCCCTCCGAGCGCAGCTTCCCATGGCGCTGCCGCTGGATTACCAAGGAAAGGGGGATGCTCCTTGCCCAGGGTCTGACACGGCCCCGGCTCCCTGACCCGCTGGTTCCCCTGGGGATCCGCCGGGCTGCCTTTGAAGGGGTCACGCTGTCTTTCGGAAACAGGAATAGGAACATAAACTGCTAGAAATTTACAACTTCACTCCCTCTTTGGAAGCATCAAGAGGGCTGAGCTTTGTGAGAAATTTCTGAGCGTTATGTGGTGTCTGTTCCTTCCAATGCTTAAACGATCTCCTGCAATACTAAAGAGGTTATTTGTATTCCCCAATACTTCATGGACAGTGATTATTACAGGTGGCAAATTCCTTACTAAACTTTTTTGACAAAAGGACAGGACTCCACCAAAAAAAAAAACCCCAAAAAAACTCCACCAAAACCAACCAACCAACCAACCAAAAAAAACCAAAAAAAACCCCAAAAATCAACAAAATAAACCCCGAATGCTCCTTTCCAGTCATACTGAAGTTTTCACCTGGTATCCAGTACTGAAAGTCAGCTGTTTCCAGAAAATCTGGTATTTAAAGAGGACGGAACAGCTACTTATTTTCCCACAAGCAGTCATATGAACTGCATGCTCAGTGTGGAGCTAAGAGTCATTTGGAATAGGATTTTTTTTAGCCTGCAGCTCCTGCTGATCTTGGAGAATTTGGAAAGAGTTTTTTTAGCCTCCCAAATGGGAAAATCTTCAGAGAGGTTCCATGTGTCAGATCAGACTGCCCTTTGTTTGAGCTTCTAATTGTGGCTGCATGGTGTTCTGCTTCTGTACTTACCTGTTCATGTTGACATTCAGTTGTAGATAAATATTTTGCAAATAAGCTGGGAGTTTTTCCTTACTAGGGGAAAAAAAATAGTGTGGAGAATACTATTTTCCTTTTTCTTAGTTTGCCACTTCCTCTATTGCTCATTGAAAGCTTGTGATCTGATACTCTCGTTGTTAACGTGACTCTGAAATCCACAACATTTAGTTAAATAGATGTTTTTATGTCTCCACTGTTTGTTTGTATTTGCTGGATAGATTTCTTTATTATTGTTCTCCTGTTCTGGAAGCTGCTGTGTTTGATTTCAGCAGTGATAAACCCATTCCAGGTTATCTTGTCTGTCTTACTGATAGAGGCAGAAAAGCACCTATGAGAATTTCTGGGTTACAGAGGAAAAGACAGAGATGGAAAAATTAATTAAATTCCAAGCAATGAAAAGCCACAACTAAATTTTAGTAAATTCTAATTATATCACAAATGATCCTAAAAGTTCAGCAATGCAGGCTCAAAGGTGTTTTCCAGCCCTTGTGTACACCATGATCTTTTGTGCAGTGTGTTGTTGTGAGAGGGGGCTCCCATGTGGGAGCAGATGCTTCCGCTTACTCTGCACCTGAGATGGCAATGTTTCCTCTTCATTTGTAGAAAAATAAATAAAATAAAATTAAAAGGCAGAAATTGTTCTCTCGTGCAGCAGAGATAATTTTTCCTTTTAATGAAGTCCATTTTGGGTTTTTTACATAGGCTAGCCCCTGGACAGAAAGGCTACAGATTGCCATCTTGCAGTTCCCCAAAGCCAGAATACTTTAGTGTCTGTGTTTGGGTGCTATTCCCAAGCACTGGCATCCCTGGTGGAGCACTGGTGTGCAGTGTGAGTGCTGTCAGAGGAGACCTGTAGATAGCAGCAGTGCTCTGGTGCTTGCAGCTCAGCCCGAGCGCTGCTGGCCACAGAGCACCCCCTAAGGACAGTTTGGCTCTCCACTCATCCCCTCACAGCTGTCAGCTAAAAATCAAAGTGTGATTCAATTTAAAAAAACAGTCTCTTCAAGTCTTTCTTGACTAACTGCACCATCTCACAGGAAACAAGCACCAAACCCCTATGTTTTAAATTTAGGTCATGAAAAACAGGAGAAGTACAGCTGTCAAAATGGGGAGGGTCAATAATAATCAATACCTGTGCAATTATTCCTTGTGTTGTGTCACACTATGTTACTCCACAATGCCATTTTTAACAGCAGACTTCAAAACCCAGAAAATACTTTACAATGCAGACACCAGGTCTCTCAGTCCAGCAGGTGTTTGCTTTCATGATGTGCTTTTGGATATTGTGTGTTCTGTTTGGGCAGAAATTCAGGGATTGCTAGGTGAGCTTATATCACATGTGTCCTGCAAGTGGTCAGATCCCAGGATCATGATGGTTCTTTAAGTTTTTCCAGTTTTTATGCAGCAATTGCTTAAAACTATTTGAAAGTTTTAAATTTTTTTCAGGTAGCTGTAATTTTGTACTTTTAAATATACTAAATAAAGGAAAATTTGGGATAGATAGGCATGTGACTAATAAATAGACATGATTGCTGCAAAAATATAATTAAATAACTCTAGTTACTTTACAGAACTTGGCAGGAAATAATTGAAAATTTCTTTCCTTTTACCATTTCAACTTCCAATAACCTGAACAGATTATAGGTAGCTGTGAACCATTCCAAGCAAAGACGGTCAGTCACAAAGACAGTGATTTCACCCAAATGAAAGTAAAAGAAAGAGATATATTACAAAGATATTGTTAACACAGTTGGGATGAGGGGCAGGTTGGGATGGAGCACAGTGGGCACCTGCAGAGCACAGGTTTCCTACACAACAGAGAGTTGGCCATTGATTTATTCCTTTTAAGGTGATTGTATCTGATAATTTTGCAGTGCCCAAGATATCTAATCCCTACTGCACTCAGGTATGACCCCATGGAATTCTGTGAAACCTCTAAAGCAGCTACAGAAATCTTTCCACCGTGTTTAAACACAGGATGCACACTAATATCTTCTTCTGAATTTATCCTGATTCTTCCCTTCTGAATGTGGCACAGATTGTCTCGGAGTCTTTATTTTAAACAATTATTATGCTGGAAAACACTTCAGATACTGGATATCAACATGGTGATTGGTTTACTTTGTGGATTTTGAGACACCTAAAGCATGTTTATTTAATGTTTTTTCTAATGTCCACCATCAACACATTTCAAGAATGTGGCAGCTAACCCTGTGTTGACTGCAACCTATTAAGACAGGAAACACAGAACAGTGGTGAGAAAAAGAATTTGAAATTACCCAGGTTCCTAGGGGAAAATGGCTTGAAGACAAATTGTGCAAAAGGAAATTGCCCCATTTTCTCCACAGTTTGGGCAGGGCTTCTATAGCTAAAGATCACAATAGCTGCGTTGCTGTCAGGGTTCATTCCCCAGACTTGGATTAGGAACATGTTTCTGCCTAGGCACAGCAAGAGGTGCAACAGCCATGCCCTCCCAAGTCTTTGTGGAGTTTCCTGCCGAGTGGGATAGGCCCAGCCATGTCACAAAAGAATATGATTATGTATGGGATCCCAGAGATATTGATTTAATAATTCAATTTTATAAGCCTCTTAACTTTGCCCTTAGTAAAAAACTAGCATTCTTCATACTTTTCATGATGTAACTTTTGGGACTAAACATAGTTATCATCTCCAACACAGTACACTCTCTCTTCTTGTTTGCTTTAGGAAATTCCTCTAGGGCTAAGTACAGGAGGATTTTTTTTTTTTTTTTTTGGTTTCTGAACCTAAACAGGGACATGGAAATAAGTAGAAGTAAATAAATAATAATAAGTAAAAGAAGTTTCCCTTGATGCTTGCTAATTTTTTTCCTAGCCCTTTATTGCTGTGTGTATAATCAGGAGCTGGAGCATGTATATTTTGAGATGATGGTGGGAGATTAAATGCCTGTTGCTAGAACAGCTGAGTTATTGCACGTGGCTTGGTTTTCACAGTTTCAATAATGTGGATAATGATGTGAAGATTATGTGCTTCCAGTTTCAGTTCTACAAGGAAAACTTTCTAGAAACTTTGTCAATCCACTGTTTAATGTACATGTCTGCTTGAAGCCTTCACGTTTTTCATGTCTTCTTAGACACAGCCAAAGCCTCTTGAAAACTGCTCTCTGAATAGATGGTGAGCAAATGGTTTTCCTGTCCAGCCAAACCCCAAGATAATCTCCAGAAATAAGCCCAAACACCTAGAAATTATCTTTAAATTGGAAAATGTGGGTTTCAGTGGCTGTTAGTGGCAGCACACAAGGGGAGGTGGGAGAGAGCAGGTCTTGTTGCCAGAGGCCAGGGTGAAGGGCAAGGTTGGAGACAGGCAGCTCCTCTTGTGGGCCGTGTGGTGCCTAGAGCCAAGTGACCTGCTGGCAGCTCAGCCTCTGTCCAGGAGGAATCAGACCTGGCTGGCCAGTCTGTGCTCCAAGATCACCCAGTAAATAAAGATGTGGAAAGGAGGAGCCTCTCCAGACTCCCTCAAAGATGGCTCTTGGCTGTAGTGATCTGGGCTGGGGAGCACCTTCAGGGTTGGGGACCTGAATGTCCTCACTCCAGCTGGGAGTTGCTCCAGGGATTCCTGCTTGCCTATGAAGCCAACCCATAACTCTCTGGCAGCAAAGCCCAGGGTGCCAGCTCCACCTCTGTTCTGGCCCCCAGCTCCTCACAGATGGCATTGC